AATTAAACCCAATTCCCACCCATTTACCCAAAACGCGAACCCTCTCCACCCTCTCTCACTCCCTTCGTCCCTCTCTCACTCTATGCTCTCTCTATCTCAAACAGCGAAAACCAAACCCTTTGACTTCCGTCCCTCTCTGAGTCTCTGCTATCTCTCTTTCTCTCTGACTCTCTCAAACTCGAAACGGCGAAACCCTTCGTCCACCGTCCGTCGAACGCCGTCTGTGACTGTGAGAAAGGTAATTTTTTTCTGATTTTTTTATTGAATGTTGATACAAACTTGGAGCTATAGTCTGTAAATATCACAAGTTCCATTGGAGGTTTTTTTTTCTTTTAATTGATATTGGTTTTCCATGTGGTCTATAGTTGTGGCCTATGAGTTTTAATTTATAATGGGGCGTGTGTGATTTTCTTTTATAAAACCTTAAGATTGTGTGGAGTTAGGTGATTTTGTGTGGACTGTGGACCGTGTGGTGTCTTGGTCTACTAGAATGTGAGGATTGAATTTGTGTGTTTATATGCTCTGGTATAGCCTTACTGCCTTACCAATATTACTCTTCAATTTTGTAATAATCACTGTTTTACATTTCCAAAACCAGGAACGGATCATTTTATCTTACTAATAGGTTGCTGAACTTGAAACAAGCAGCAAATGTTGGTGCCTTGCCAAGGTTTAATTCCCAGCCTTCTTAAATATACTTTTCTGTTCAATTGTCATTTAGTTTTTGAATTGAATTTGGAAGTGTGTAAATTAATCTGCATTGGAAATTGATTGCACAATCTGGTTTTGTTTCTGATTTGCACAACATTGGAAATCAATGTACTGGTTATACCTCATAGAAAATGCATTTTGTGCTCGCCAGCTAGTTTAATCATACTACTACACAATCTTGTTTTGTTTCTGATTTGTTAAAATGATAATATGCTATGTAATTTGCAGTTGTGCTTTTGGATTTAGCCATTTAGGCATTTTTTAGGAAATGTTAGTTTGGAAATTTAGCCAATAGCAATTTATATAGGAATTTATAGGATATTGAAGTTTTTTTAATATTTATGCTCTTAGGTTTAATATGGAGGAAGATCGACTTTCTTCCAAGAAATGAAGAACTTTGTTATCTTTCTTTTCAAAGAGTAATAAATATCAGGGTACTCCAATTTCTACGGCACCACTCCAAATCCAATTTCATCCTCTGAAGTTGCACGATCTTCATCTTCTAATCTTAATGTAGAACCACTCGATTCTATTGAACGGGATTTACGTCATTTTG